CTATCTATCTATCCTATACCCAGGTTGGTGGGTTACAAAGGATAGATGAGAGAGAGAAAAAAAATCCTTGGGAACATTTGACAAAAAGCAAAAGACCTACATTTGAACAAGGAGCAGTGTGTCTAGAGAGAAAACCACAGATAATTCGGCAGACTACTTAGCTGACTTCCTCTGCTGAACTTACCAGAGCTCCTCACTCAGTTTATTTTATATTTTTTCCAACCAAAACAACATTTCCATGTTTTCTTTTTGGAATTTAACCTGGAACGACGATTTACTGAAACCAATACCTCGCTTCCACCCTTTTTCCTGATGTATTCCTTCTTTGATGTCCCGCATTGCGGTACTTAACAGCCCAGATGTCGGAGGACGTTGCAGTTTTGCAGTAAGCTGAGGTATTTGAATAGTTTTCTGCTCCACTATCTCTCTAGATCATGGGTCTTCAAACTTGGCCCTTTTATGACTTGTGGACTTCAACTCCCAGAATTCCTCAGTTGGCCATTTTGATGAAACCGCAGGCTTAGATCCAGACCAGGGGTCTTCAAACTTGGCCCTTTTATGACTGGCTGAGGAATTCTGGGAGTTGAAGTCCACAAGTCACAAAAGGGCCAAGTTTGAAGACCCCTCCTCTAGATGGTGGGAATGTTTTATATTGTCCACCTTTTTAAATCCATCCCTAAAGATGCAAAACAGGATCTCAAAGCCTAAATTATAAGACCCCCCCCCCCGGAGATTGAATCTTTCTTTTTTGTAGCCCAGGAGAACTGATCCATGGCTTATCTTCACCCATATCCTAATAATGCCCATTAATAGGCAATATGCAATCATAAACCAAGCATAAATGGATTATTCAACATTAATTTACTGGGGAGGTATTTTTTCAGTGTCCCTTGGTGGCTATAGAAAACACCCCTCATTTAAAAATCTGAAGATTCTGAACTCTACGCCTTGATATCAAATTGGGAGCAATTTGTACCTTTTTTTTGCAAGAAGTGAGTGAAATCACATTCTTGACCCAGAAGAGCAATTGTGAAAAACTGGGTCAAGTGCCCAAGTGGTGATCATTTGACTGTGGGGATGCTATGACTGTCGTAATTGTGAGGAGCAGTCATTAGTTTCTTTTTTTTTCCAGTGATACTGTTTGAGCAATTTCTGGGTACAAGCTAATCAAAGACCAATAAAGACAAATATTTGTAGCTTAGATATAGTGGAGGTCATAATACAACAACCGGGAGCGATTGCACTTCCACAAACACAGCCAAAAATATGGATCAGATATGTAGGTGACACCTTCACCAGAATAAAAAAAGGCCCAGTTAAATATCACCCACAAAATCATCAACAAACCATCTTCAAATGAATCCAGTTTATCAGAGAAGAAGAAAACAACTACCCTTCCTGGATATCCTGATCAGTAGAAGCCATGATGGCAAACTAGAAACACAGGTGTTCTGAAAAACCACCCACAGCACCCAAAGCAATAACCCAACTTCCCACAACTGAAGCTGCATAAGAACATTACTTAGAACAGCACAAACACACTGAGAGGACAAACACACTGGAACAAAGGCCTGGAGACTAAAACATATGAGGAACGGTTACAGGATTTGGGTTTGGCTACTCTAGAGAAAAGAAGGATTATTGTAGCGGGGACATGATAGCAGCCTTCCAGTATTTGAGAGGTTGCCACAAAGAGGAAGGGGTCAACTTATTTACCAAAGCACCTGAAGGCAGGACAAGAAACAATGGATGGAGAAGCAACCTGGAATTAAGGGGAAACTTCCTAACAGTGAGGACAATTAACCAGTAGAACAGCTTGCCTTCAGAAGTTGCCTTCATCACTGGAGGTTTTCAAGAACAGACTGGGTAGCCATTGTCCAGAATGGCATAAGGTCTCCTGCTTGAGCTGGGGATTGGCGTAGAAGACCTCCAAAGTCCCTTCCAATGCTGTTATTCTATGTTCTTGTGGGTAAGGAGATGTCTCATGAAACCTAAGAAAGAGCCCTCTTGGTTCCACAGCATTTTATGGTACGGCTCACTCACTGGTAGTTGATGTCATGGAGGGGACTGGAAAGGCTATGCAGAAGCAATTTGGATGCGATTATGTAAGCAATTTGATTGATGGGTGCAGTCTTTCCTGAAGACCTCTGTAACACTCCAAAGGGAGGAACAAATTGCCCTCCACCATCCCATCAAGATGCCCCTTTTTGCAGTGTCCTATCAAGGTACACTGATCATCAGTCTTTAGGCCAGGCAATATTACTGTAATCAATAAATGCCTACATAGTGGCAATTTTTGAGCTTGATTCCACTTCTGGTCCTTTTTAGCCTTCCATGTGTTTTCACCTAAGCTTGCTCTATTGTAGCACTTGGTAATTCTTTTACAGAAAACGGCACAAATGTTTGCATTTAAATTGTGCACGTTTTTTTTCCCTGAGAAGCTGTAGATTTGCACTCATTTGTCCCCTTGTGCATGAGAAGATACGATGGGGATTAAGAACATTTGAGCCCTCAGAAAGCTAGCATGTGGCAGCCAGAGAAAGTATGCTTCTTTGTGAAACGTTTTTTGTGTGAAAGAAGGACTGGGGAGACATGATAGTAGTGTTCCAATATTTGAGGGGCTGCCACAAAGAAGAGGGGGGGGGGTGTCAACCTATTCTCCAAAGCGCCTGAAGGCAGGACAAGAAGCAATGGATGGAAACTAACCAAGGAGAGAAGCAACCTAGAACTAAGGAAAAATTTCCTGATGGTAAAAACAATTAATCAGTAGAACAACCTTCCTCCAGAAATTATGGGTGCTCCATCACTGCACGCTTTTAAGAAGAGACTAGACAGCCAATTGTCTGGAATGGCATAGGGTCTCCTGCTTGAATAGAGGGTTAGACTAGATGACCTCCAAGGTCCCTTCCAAATTTGTTATTCTATTCTATGGTTTTGATGCTGCCTAGTTTTAAGGACACTTGCTGACTGGGTTCTCCCCCCTTTGGAGGAAAATCAGAAAGAAAGAAAACAATCTGTGGACCCTTTGTTGAATTTCTTTGGTCATTTTCCAAAAATGAAGAAGATTTAAAATGTTGTTTTACATTGACAAAAAAAAAAAAAAAAGCAGTTGAAGGAAACCAGGCCAATTTCATCCGCCCAGACAAACCTGGTGATAGATTTAGTTTTAGCATGGAAATTTCAGCAGATGTCTATGGAAGGGAACCAACAGAAAACATCTGTTGAGCATTGATTGAGTGGGATGATGGATTGAGAGAATAGCAATTTGAGGAGATGGGGTCTCTAAATAGATTCCTTCAGTCTGCAGGAGCTGTCAATAAGTCAGTGTACAGGAAGGAAGGAGTGGAAGAAAGAGGGAAGGAGTTAAAAGAGGGATCAGCCTAGAATTTTTATGTAGTCACAAGCAAGCAAAGTTCAACCCCCTCCCTTGAATTCCGTTGACCCTTATCTAACTCCTAGCAGGTGCTAACTAACCCTTAGTTGAGAAGATTCCTTTTTTTTAAATAATTTTTTTTATTTTTTATTTTTCCAAATTCTCCCCCATACATATACCATGATATTTATCAGATATTAACATACATTCTTTTTACATTCATATATAAGAGACTTTTAATAAAATGAAATAAATACATACACATGACTTTTGGTGTTGCTCGCCCATTTCCCCTTTCACTGTATCCACACTCCTTCTTCTCTACCTTTTTTCTCCCTTTCTTCTCTTCCCTACTTCCCTCTTCTTCCTCTCCTCTTCTCTTTCCTTCACCACTCTCCTCCCTTTTCTCCCCACTTCTCCAGTTGAGAAGATTCCTGTCCATAGGCATGAGTAACAATAAATCAGTTTAATTGGATCTTCATGTGTAGACCTGAACTTTCTCACTGGACATTCAATTCCTATCTTTACTTCTATTCTACCCCACTTTTGAGGAGACTCCATGCCTAAACATTTTCTATACATCTCTATGAAATCTGGATGCTCCTGAGCCTGGTGGCATCTCCCTACTTCATCTCTCTTGTGCAATTTTGGAGATGTGAGACATGTTTTTGGAAGAATAGGTTTACCATTGGTATGCAGGATACAATAATTCCCTCGCTCTGTTTCTGTTCCTCACTGCATCCTGCATTCCATTCCTTTGGAATGTTAAAGAAGGGAATTTCTAAAATTAATTCCAGAATTGAACATGCATACTTTCTTAAGTTCTTGCATCTCCCCCCCCCCTTGGTTCCCAAAAGAGCATGTGTGATTGACAAAACACATGTAAACAACTGAAATCTAGATGTGATTATTCACACAATTTTCTTGAGGAGCTTATGCGCCTGCACGGTTGTACTGAGACCTTGGTGAAATTTCACTTAAAAGAAATCTCCATGCACATTCCCACCAAAATGCTCTTTTTGTAGGGTTTCATCCATGTGTAAATGCCTGCCAGTAACCATTTCAACCGTTACGTCCCTTCCCTGCCACTTTGTCTGGACCCATCTGTATGCTGTGTAGTGCTTTTTTCTCCGGGACAGAGTCAAGATTTGAGGAGAAAGTTGAAAGAAGTGGAATTTAGAAGTATGGTTGCTCTGAATACAGATAGTCCTCGACTTACAAGCACAACTGAACCCAAAATTTCTGTTGTTGTGAGACATTTGTTAAGTGAGTTTTGCCCCATTTTATGTCCTTCCATCCCACCATTGTTAAATGAATCACTGCAGTTGATACATTTTTAACCTGGTTGTTAAGTGAATCTGGCTTCCCCATTGACTTTGCTTTGTCAGAAGGTCACAAAAGTGGATCACATGACCTTGGGACACAGCAATGGTCATAAGTATGAACCAGTTGCCAAGTGTCTGAATTTCTGATCATGTGATCATGGGGATGCTGCAAAGGTTGTAACTATGAGAAATGGCCATAAGTCACTTTTTCCAGGGCTGTTGTAACTTTGAATGGTCACTAAATGAACTGTTGTAAATCAAGGAGTACCTGTACTCAAATACCCAATTCAATGATTACTTACCTGCTGGTTCTTCAGTGCTGGTGACCACCGATGTTGGGTTGACAACCGGGATTTCTGCAAACAAAAAGCGAAAAGCTTTCTTAGCTGACTTGCGTTTTCTTCCAAAGTTCGCATGAAAGTTAACCCCAAATTTTATAAACCACAGGCTGGTTTTTACATTTAAAAGAGATTGATTTAACAGCAACAGATGCCTGGCAGATGGCCTCCCTTTACTAATGTGCAATCCCATGGCTGGATTCATACAACAAAGTTAGACCTACCACTTAAAAACCTCTTGGCTACATTTTGACAATATGCTAATCACCGTTAGTTTATTTTTTTTAAAACTTGGTCACTTAATGTCAATCTTGGTTAGACTTTGGAGAGGGATTTAGCTAATTTCATTGGTGAATGTGTGGTTCACTCTTGAAAACCTGGAAAGTGAGTTAATTCAATAACTGAATTAAGTATGTTGCATGGTACTGATAAAATATTTGTAGCTTTTCTGAAAGGGCCTAAAAACATGGTTGTGTCAGCAGACCATAAACGGAGAGGGAGACAACCAAGTAGAATAGAATAACAGAGTTGGAAGGGACCTTGGAGGTCTTCTAGTCCAACCCCCTGCTGAGGCAGGAAATCTTATATCAAGTAGAGATTTGATTGGGTTATTGTTGCCATGGGGGGGGGGGTGTAGATGGGTTGGGTGTTTTTTTATATTTTTGGATTTTTAAATGTTGAAAGCCATTGGAGTCAGCTATGTCCGAGTCAGGTGGCCATCTAAATTTGTTTCAGAAATAAATCAATAATAAATCACAGAACACTTTGTTTTTTTTTCCTTCCAAAAGTGGCATGGAAAGCATGCAGAATATTTAGAAAAGTACATCTTACTTCCCCTGTCCTTTCCACTTTCTACAGAAGGACGATCAAGAGCATCCTCTCATATTACAGTCTGATTTGGAAGCATCCCTGCTTCAGACAGGAAGGCAGTGCAGAGAGTGGTGAGGACAGCAGAAAAGATTATTGATAGTTCACTTCCATCTGTCCAAGATATGGCATGTAAGGGACACTTGACCAGGGTCCACAATGTTACACATCCTCTTTGTTATGTCCCGAGCCTTTGCAAACGGCTCGGGCGTTTGCAGGCAGTCCCGGGCAGGTGCAAAGCTGCCCGGGACCAGACAGGCTGTCGCCAGCGCCGTGCGCATGCGCGGGTGCTGGCGCGGGAAAAGTAACCCATTTACCCGGGAGTTGCCTATATAAGAGGCTGCGAGGCGTTTGGGCGAGGCTGAAGCCATCTTCCTGTAAGCTGAACGCTGAATAAAAGAAACTGAGAACTCCAGCTGCTTCTCGTGTCTGTTTTCCCGCCAAGGACGCAACACTGGCGACGAGGGTGGGATGCCTTGCACTACCTGGAAAGGAAAAAGTGTAAGCTTACCCAAGGAGTCCTGAGCGGCGGAAGAGGAACGGCGTCGACTCGGCAGCTACCCGCCAATCCGGTGCGCATTCGGGGGTAGGCTGGCTGATAGACCCGTCTCCTGAAGATCCGAAGATGGCGAAAATCGGAAGGCTTTCGGAATTCGACGTCTCACATCCAGAGCGGTGGGAGTCCTACGTATCCAGAATGGAGAACTACTTCAAGGCAAACCAAGTGAGGGAAGATAGCTTGAAGGCCGCCACCCTGCTTTGCGTTTGCGGCCAAGACGCCTTCGAAATCGCAGAAAATCTTGTAGCACCTGTTCCAGTAGAGTCTGTAAGCTACGCAGACCTGAAGAAGCTGCTGAAAGAGCACTTCCACCCCAAGGTGTCCGTTATCTCATGGCGCCACACCTTCGAGCAGAGGGATCAACGGTCCGGTGAAACAGCCAAGGAATACATCGCCGCGCTACGGAAGGCCGCCAAGCCCTGCGAGTTCAAGGACCTCGAGGAACGACTGAGGGACCGATTCGTGTGCGGGCTAAGGCATCGAGAGCTACAACAGAGACTTTTTGCCAAGGAAGAATTATCCTTCCAAGACGCCTTAAGGGAAGTCACCGCAGAAGAAGCAGCAGGCGGCGCCATCAAAAACATGCGGCCGATCAGAAACAGTGCAGAGGGTGCGTCCGTGCACCAGGAAGACGTCCGACGAAACTCCGAGGAGGATCCGGACGAGGAAGTCGACCGTCTACACCCCGCGAAGGAAGAGAACCAGAAGGGAAGCTCTTCGGCTCTGCTCAAGTGCATCGGCTGTGGAGGTCGCCACAGGAGAACCGACTGCAAGTTCCGCTCCGCTACCTGCCGGGCATGCGGCAAACAAGGGCATATTGCAGCTGTGTGTCTGAGCCGACGAAAGGCACAACCCCAAGAAGAACGCCTGAAAGGTACCAGATTCCCCAGCCAGAATAGGGTAGGGTTTTGCGCTTCGCGAAGAAGCATCTGTAGAACAGGCACACACAAGCCCATGAAGAAAAAGCTGTCACTCAACGTGAAGCTACAAGGGGTTCCATTATCTATGGAACTAGATACAGGGTCTGCCCCTACTTTGACGATGTCTTGATTGCAGGAGACTCCACACACATTCTAGCTGAAAGACTTAGGGCTGTCCTGTTAAGATTCAGGGAATCAGGCCTCAAGCTCAGAAAAGACAAATGCAAGATCGGGGTGCCTTCTACTGAATTTCTGGGATTCAAAATTGATGCTGCTGGGATTCATCCTGCTGAATCCAAACTAACTGCTATTTTAGAAGCACCCAGGCCAAAGTCTAAGGCCGAACTTCAGGCCTTCCTAGGCCTCCTGAATTTCTACAATTCTTTTCTTCCACATAAAGCTAGTGTAGCTGAGCCTCTTCACAGGCTACTAGACAAACAAGCTGTGTGGCTGTGGTCACAAGCACATGAGGCTTGCTTTAAAGAAGTCAAGGCCTTGCTCACTTCTAACAGTGTTCTTGCACATTTCAACGAGTCTCTTCCTGTGTGCATCGCTTGTGATGCATCCCCCTACGGGGTTGGAGCTGTCCTGAGTCACCTCAGGTCTGATGGAACTCAGGTTCCTATTGCATACTACTCCAGAACACTGTCTTCTGCCGAGCGCAACTACGCTCAGATAGACAGGGAGGCTCTGGCTGTTGTTGCTGGAATTAAAAAATTCCACGATTTTCTATATGGCAGGCATTTCACGGTCTTCACTGACCATAAGCCTCTGCTGGGACTGTTTACCACACGTAAGCAGACTCCCCACATCATTTCCCCTAGAATGCTTAGGTGGTCTATTTTCTTGTCTGCATATGATTTTTCATTACTCCACAAGCCTGGGAAAGAAATGGGCCATGCTGATGGCCTCAGTAGGTTGCCTCTGCCAGTAGTAGAAGCTGACCCCGCGCCAGCTGTCAACATTCTATCAATCCAAGCCTTGCCCGAGCTCCCTCTTAGTGCCAGGGATGTTACCGCTGAAACAGGTACAGATCACACACTTTCACGTGTCCGCTCCTGGGTCCTGTCCGGGTGGCCTGAGCACTGCCCTAGTCCTGAGTTTCAGAGTTTCTGGTCCAAAAGGAACGAACTGTCCCTTTCTCAGGGTTGTCTGCTTTGGGGAAACAGAGTTGTCATTCCCACCTCAATGAGGACTAGGGTCTTAGAATCCCTCCACGAGGGTCATCCTGGGTCATCCTGGCATTGTTCGTATGAAGGCTCTTGCACGAAGCCACTTGTGGTGGCCTGCTTTAGATAAAGATATTGAAGCTAAGGTACACGCATGCCACCTGTGCCAACGATCTCGCCCAGAGATGCCCCAAGCTCCTGTGCATAGATGGGAGGAAACACAGTCCCCATGGTCTAGGTGCACATTGACTACGCTGGGCCCTTTCAGGGCCAGTTCTTCTTGGTCCTTGTTGACAGCCATTCAAAATGGCTTGAGGTTGTGCCTGTCTCATCCACCACCACTGCAAAGACTATTCAGGTACTGAGGGGGATTTTTGCTGCACACGGGCTGCCAGATGTCATTGTGTCCGACAACGCCCTCATTCACCTCCTCCGAATTCCAAGCTTTCTTACAGGCAAACCTGATTCGTCATGCCACGTCTGCGCCTTTTCACCCGTCCACCAACGGTATGGCTGAACGCATGGTGCGCATCGCAAAGGACGCCTTGAAGATACTCACCTACGGGGACTGGCATCACAGGTTGGCTGACTTTCTCCTTTCTTATCGCACCACACCGTCCACTTCTACAGGGAGAAGTCCAGCTGAACTTCGTTGGTGGCGCCAACTTACTACTAGACTTGACCGGTTGCATCCGGACAGACTGCCTTCATCTACCTCACATCCTAGGGCACCTAGACAACTACTTGTGGGTGCCCCGGTTTGGGCTCGCAATTACGGGCCTGGTCATACATGGGTCCCCGCTTCTGTTTCCAGGATCACAGGCCCTCTCTCCTACGAGGTTGCCCTGGACAACGGTCGTGTCCTGCGTCGGCACATCGACCAACTTCGCTCTAGGCGAGACTTTTCTGCTGAGACTCCTGGGTCTTTTCCAGGGGGGGAGGGGGACCCTTTGGAGCAAAGGGAAGGGCACGAGCTGCTGCCCATCTCCACTGAGGGAGCCACAAACGGCCCATCCCAGGGTTCCGCGAGAGCTCCGAACAGGAATTCCATGAGCTTACCTAACTACCAGGCATCCACGCCTACTCCAGCCAGGGAGTCACCCCGGGGGCATACTCACTTTCCACACACATCACACAGCACTCCAGCAACGGAGGATACCCGGGGGCATCCCAACAATCATTCCCCGCAAGAGAACTGGCACACAATTCCCAAGGTTGGCCTGACCTTACCCCAAATCCTACAGGGGGTCAAACATACACAGAGTTAGTCGAGGAACCAAGTCCCGACTACAACAACCCTAGCACAAATCAGGGAACACCTGAGTTTTGGGAAAGTACAGAAACCCACACGAGCCCGAACACAGAATGGGGTTCAGGGGATGGACAGCCTCCTGACAGGTCTTGGACTGACCTAGGAGGTTCTACAGAGACGCCCAGCAGCGGCTATCACTTCAAGGGGCCTGAGGGTCTACAGCTAGGTAGGTCAACCAGGTCACAAGTAACCGAAGCCCTGTCCTGACGAGCCCCGGTGGGCAAGCAAGCAGGCCAGGCATCGGGGCACAGTCCTTGGAAGACACCAGGGCACAATAGAGAGAACAGGCTCACGCCTCCCTCCAGTCAGGGACTTATGCCAGTAATCCACAGCTAAGAAGGTCACAGAGAGCAAAGAAATCTCCTAAGTACCTAGAAGACTACATAACATTGCTGGCAAGGCAAAGGCCAGTAAACAGTGGGAGCACTGGGGAGCAAAATGTCATATAAAATAAATGTTGTATGTTGGTAGTAGTTTTAGCCCGGGGGAAAGGGGTGTTATGTCCCGAGCCTTTGCAAACGGCTCGGGCGTTTGCAGGCAGTCCCGGGCAGGTGCAAAGCTGCACGGGACCAGACAGGCTGTCGCCAGCGCCGTGCGCATGCGCGGGTGCTGGCGCGGGAAAAAGTAACCCATTTACCCGGGAGTTGCCTATATAAGAGGCTGCGAGGCGTTTGGGCGAGGCTGAAGCCATCTTCCTGTAAGCTGAACGCTGAATAAAAGAAACTGAGAACTCCAGCTGCTTCTCGTGTCTGTTTTCCCGCCAAGGACGCAACACTCTTTATGACCTGTTTTCCTTGTTACCTTCTGGGAGGACGGGGCTTTGTGGTATCTGAAGCAGAACATCCAGACTCAGTCACGGTTTTGTTCCATATAGTATTAACATGTGTTATGTATGTATAACTAAATATATATAAACTATTTCGAAGCCATCTGGCTTTTCCGGATTATAAGTACTGCTTGAGCTGTGATTTTACAAGCTATTTAAAGACAGAGTGAGTGGTAAGGAATTACTGCTAACAAGACATTTTGGATTATAACCTTGGCAGGTGGGTAGCATCGGACCTTGGGATAAATTTTATGTTTTCCTTTTTCCCCTTTTTTTCTCCTTTTTATCTCTCCTATTTGTTGGGGGAGCCTAATTTTTAACGTTTGACTGGAGAACTATTTATGGACAGTGGAAACTGAAATATTGGAGTTACTCCTTGGAAAAGGCCTACACATCCTCTTCACGACCTGTTTTCCTTGTTACAGTCACAGTTTTGTTCCATACAGTATTAACATGTGTTATGTACATGCATGGGTAGATATATATATATTCTTTTGAGAGCAGGCAACAGAATTTCATTTTTAATGTGTGCCAGTGAGCTCACAGTAAAAAAAAAATGACAATAACGGTTATCTTATCTTACTCACTAATGCAGGGGGCTACAGGGGAGCGACTCTGCTGATAGCCTTTGGCACAACGATTGCACGTTAAGCCGGTGACACCATCTTTGCAAGGACATTGCCCGGTGGTTTGGTTGCAGGTTTTCCCAGCTGCGCCGACAGGATGGCAGTCGCATGCTAAAAAAAGCAAGAAGGGAGGGGGAGAAAGAGGATGGGAAAACCTTAAAAACTAGAACTTGCAAGGGTATACACACACGCACGCTCGCATTTCATAATACTGCATACCAGGAGAGGCAGAGTTATGTGCAAACAGAACCTTGATTCAAAACACATGTCTGCTGTGACGAACAGCTCCTTCAAGTGTCCCAGTTCTGGCTCAGAATGTTAGCTTGCTACAGAGCTGAGTTAGTTGCACTCTTGATATAACCATGACCATGGGTGGGAAAAAGCTTGTACTGTAATGGGCAGCTGACCTGCTGAACCCTTCTTGATTTTGCTAGCAGATGCTTTCTTGCGTCTTCTAGTCAGTGGTGAGATTCAAATATGTGAACAACCGGTTCTCTGTGTGGATGCCACTTCCGGAAGTCCGTTCTGGGCCTGGGCAACAAAAAAATTAGCTACCAGTTCTGCTGAAGTGGTGCGAACCGGCTGAATCACACCACTGTATTTCTTTCTTTCTTTCTTTCTTTCTTTCTTTCTTTCTTTCTTTCTTTCTTTCTTTCTCTCTCTCTCTCTCTCTCTCTCTCTCTCTCTCTCTCTCTCTCTCTCTCTCTCTCTCTCTCTCTCTCTCTCTCTCTCTCTCTCTCTCTCTATCCAGTGGTGAGATTCAAATATGTGAACAACTGGTTCTCTGTGTGGATGCCACTTCCAGAAGTCCATTCTGAGCCTGGGCAACAAAAAATTAGCTACCGGTTCTGCCGAAGTGATGCAAACTGGGTGAATCCCACCACTGCTTCTAGTGCCAGGTCAAAACATTGTCAAAACAAGCCTGATGCCTTAAGCATGACACTAAACTGGCTCTCAAGATATACAGATATGTAGAAATATAAAAATCCGGTAATATAGATAGATGTGACATTCCCAACTAACCAACACAGATACTTCCTGGAACCACCATCCACCAACTCTTGTTATTCTCCTGGACACCATGCCTGATTTCAAGGCCTCCCGAAAGATGAGCAAAATTGGGATCAGGTAATGCTGATGAGGTTCAGTGTTCCAGAGAGGAGAGTAAATTTAGATACATTTAATAAATACATAAAACCTAGAAATTCCAACTTAGATATTATGGGAACGGATGCCAGGACCACCCAATAGGTTCCAGTTAAGCTGATGATTTATTCCTCTTACCTGTACACAAGAATCTAGTCTACTAACGATCGGCACTAAATTGGTGTTAGATAAGAGTCAATTCAAGAAGGGTTGGATTCGGTCCGTTTTGTGGGAACGTAATGATTCCAGGCTGATTCCTCTCTTGTCTCCACCTCCAGGCTCTCCCTGTCCTTCTCCTACAGCAGAGACAACATTAGGGCCCAGAAGTTTTTTGCCCATTTGACAGGTGAACACATCATGGTGTGTTATTACCCTGATTTGGCCTCTTGCATGGATAGCCCTAACTTCTGAACCCTTAAAAATTGCCCTCTCTTCTCCCCCTAACGTAGCTGCTCTGCTCTAACTAGCATGGATGGCATAGGGTACTAAGGCTCATTAAAATGAAAGAATTGCAGCTCTGGGAAAGAGAGAAAGATGAAGGGTAGTTTTCCTTCCAGTGGAGAATTTTTTAACTTTGCTATAAAAAAAAATAGCAATGGAGGCCTGGTTTATGTCAGGGAGGAAATTTCAGAGGGAGGGCTCCATTTATTTATAATGCTTGGCTCATTTTTATTATCTGAGAACTAAACAGCCAGGGTGGTTTCTGCCTCTTAGACTCCCGGGGTTGATTAACAATTCTGGACAAGTCTTGGCCCAAAAAAACGACTCGATTCCCTTTTGCTGTGAAACATCGCTCGTTACATTGCCATTAGCATTACATACTTCATTGTGTGGAGATAAAACATAGCAGCAGCATCAGGAGTCTGGCAGGTTCACGCCGCAGTTAGAACTCGCATTTCTACCAAAGCCCAGTAAATATATCGAAAGGGTGTGAGTTCTCCGTTGTCATCCAACAACAGGAGATGCTGAGGAGCGGGTCTCCTTGGGTAGGAGGGCCATCTACACATTCCTTCCCCTTGAAATAAAGCACACACACCACCCCCAAAGTTGAAAGAGATTTATGTAGACTGGATTAGCTGCGGAGATGCCAATTTGGAAATAATTATCATAAATTGTAGAGAGGTGGAAGGCATTCCAGCGTAGTTGGAGAACTTGTTCTGAGCACCTACGCCTCTTTAAGCTACCCAGTCTGGCTTGTTGGTTTTAGCCTAGCGTGTTATACAGAATTAACTTAATTGTGGCTTGTAAACCATGGTTTCTGGCTTACATAGTCAGAGCAGGTGGACAAGCTTAACCGGATGCTGCATCATGGTGAGCCACCAAAACGTACGAACACAGCTAACCGAGCTTGGCTCGTTAGGAAAGGTATCTGCTGGACCTCCACTGTGAACCCCAACTGAGGTGGCTTGTTCAAAAAATCATGGTTAAAACACTTGGGTTAGCATAATGTGCATAAAAACAAGCCCTTACATTTGCCCAATGTAATTCATAAGAAGCTTCATAACCTTAAAACTTGAAGCAGGGAAGTTTTTGAATTAAAGGAACATTTTATTTAAGGGAAAATCACAAAACTGTGTCTCACTTACTTTGGCTGTGCCATGTGGGGGGATTCATTGGAGAAAGCAATTATGCTTGGAAGAGTTAGCGCTAAAAGGAAACCAGTTGTTCTAAGCTCTGGCTGGTGTCAGCTTTGAGGGTGTCCACCCACCGGTGGGTGGACACCCTCAAAGCTGACACCAGCCAGAGCTTAGAACAACTCAAAGAAGTAGTGCAAGATTAGAAGATGTGGAGACACCTGGCCCATAGAATCGCCATACAACTGAATGGATATCATCATCATCATGAGAGCAAATAGAAGGATTTGGGTTCTAAATATGAGAAAAGACCATCTAAGTGGCTCGTGTGAATTTTGGAGGAAAAATGAAGCTGAACTACCTCGTAAAAGCAAAGAATTTGGATTCTGAGAACCTCATGAACAAGTGGAATCATCTAGCAGAAAGCTGAGGAATCACAAGAGATTGTTCTCCTATCAATTAATAGATGTTAGACACCATATTTGAAAACAATGATTATTTCCTATCAATAAAAGAAACTAGCATCTCAGGATGAAGGATTCCAAGTTAGGTCTCTCTCTCTCTCTCTCTCTCTCTGCTGTACCAGCTTTCTGATTTTCATTATGTGCTAGCATAATGGACTTCTAGCAACCCCGTAAGTAGATCTTCTCTGTGATAAACTGTCCCTAACCTGTTCTTTCAAGTCTTCCAATGTTGCACACCAAATCCTTCTACCTTGCAAGCAAGTTGCCCTCTTCTTCTCTGGCCTTCTACCTTTCCTAGCACAGAACCTCTGAGGTCCCACTGGTGGTGGTCCTTAATGGAAGGAAAATGAGGAATTACACTTAAAAGCCATGAGCATCCCACCAACCTATTTTGGCCCAGTGCCTGTTGGAAGATGGAGGTGGGAGAGGGAGAGATACATATCATGGTTTCTATCAGTGTAACAGTCAAACACAATTCCAAAACCAAACAAAAATGCACACACGCATGCACACCCTTCTACCCTCCCAAAGAGAGATGTTATCGTTCCCTTAATGTTCACCAGATGGGATTTTGCCTGAGCACCATGGCCCAGTACAAGGGGTCTTCCTGGAAACACACACAGAGAAACAAGCTTGCAGCTTCTAATGGGGAACAGATGCAATGGGCCTTATCAGATCTTGGCCAGCTTTGGAAATGGACATGTTTCCGATGAGGATATTTGAAGGATTTAGCTGGGATAACACATGGCAGCGGGTGGTGGAGACGTCAGCTGAGGTTGAGTTGTCCTTTAGTCACAACATGCTTTGAAGCTGGAGCCTTGCAAGAAGCTTTTCCCTCAGGGAACCTAGTTGTTCTCTTTCTGGAGGAAATGGCGGTCCAGTTGGACTACCTGTCCTCTTCTGGTGTCCTCTTTCCTTGAAGGCACCTTAGAAGGTTGTCCAGCATGCTAGGCCAAGGTGTTTTAACCGTGAAACCTGGGTTTTCACCATAGACTAAGATATAAACCGATTCGTTTGGTTCCTCAGCATGCTGAGGCCAAGTTAAACCTAGCTTAGGTCTTCAAATTTAGAGTTCTTTAATTTCCCACCTTTTTAGCGAAGTATTTCTTCTTGAATCTTTGCAAAATTAAGCAACCAAATCTTGAGAGATCCCTGAAATCATACCACAGTATATGAGCAGGTGGGGTCTGGGGATCTCTCAAATGTTGCTGAATCTCCAGCACTCCAGTCATCATTGGCCAATGGAGAACTATAGTTCAGCAACAACAACGGTGTACATGTTCCACATTCCTACTATACAGGATGACACCTACAAAGTTGACTGACCTCTCATGAGGTTATGAAGTACAAGAGGTAGCCTAGCTAAATTTGAGAAGCCAAACAGTTCTCTTAAGGTCCCCACACAGAATCTCCAAGCCAGCAATACACAGGATTGCACACAACCTAGGCATACAACCTACTTGACACCTATGCAAGCCAATGAAAATTACAAATTGATGTATTATTAGGCTTTGAGGACTGTATCTTCTTCCTTCTTCCTAACCTCAAAAAGAGATGGCCTTCTGAAGTTAGGCCAACTAGAACATGGCTGACGTGATGGTAGCCATCATTTCTTACTTCCTAGAAAAATAAAGCATATCATCTCTTAAAATGATGATTGGGTTGTATTCATACTGCTGATATTTCCCTTGTTGAGTGTGATGTAATCGCAAGGAATCTTCAATAGATTAGGTGGTACCTAACTAGAACGAACAAATATGAGGGTATCTCCATCAAAATTAACGGGATGCAAGTTGTCAAAATTAAAAACCCATAGATTTTCATTGTTTTTGTCTATGGGATTCTGTCACTTTACATTCTTCTCACATTCAGCCTTTTATTTATTTTTTTAAACTGCAACTGTTTTTACTCTGTGCGGATTTTGATA